TCTAAACAGAGAAACAGACGAGTAAATACCTCTCAGCCCCATGTAGCAGTGTGGAAAGGGAAAGGCTTTTTAGCTCAGTGTTACACATTATAGATGAAAACAGAAACAGTCTGACTGCTGATAATGCAGAAAAGCTACTTTTCTTTAAAAAAAAAACCCCTGCCACTCACTTTTTCTCTCCATTAAGTGAGTCATCTTAGACTTGATGTTAATACCTACCTCAGTTGCACTGACTGCCACAGTTCTATGTTGGTGGATGTTGTTAGTTTATTCAAATATTGTGCACTAAATAGCAAAGATGTTTATTAATGCCCCTTGTGTTGTCCAAAGCGGCAGAGTTTACAATAAACTGAAAACAATACTTGAGTTGCGCTGTCACTGTTTAAATTTTTTTTCATAATATTTATTCTGTAATATGTTGCATACAACATGCTTTTCATTTTAAATAAATGTTCTTAATTCCAAACCAGTCCCTTGTTGTTGTTGTTTTTTGTTAAATTATAGGACTAAAGCTGTTACCTGTAAATTTAAATCATGTTTTTATTAAGTACTCGGTATCGGCGAGTACTGAAATGCAAGTACTTGTACTCGTACTCGTTTCCAAAAAAGTGGTACCGGTGCATCCCTAGTCCAGTTTATTGACTCTAGTAAGCAGATGTGATGCATTGCAGTCTCCTTTTATGACACTTTTACTTCACTTTATTTTCATCTATGGAAGTTGCAGAGCTTAATTTTCAGCCTTCATTGCTGATGAAACCATAAATTCATAGACTGTTTCAGCAGCATTAGAGATCATTGCATAAATGTGAACAATTTAACATCCAGCATTTTAGATGTTTTTTTAAGGATCAACTCGCTTACTGAAATATTCAACATGTTTAGAAGAGCTGGTTTGGATACTGGCCTGCTTCAAAATTACAGTAAAGAAATATGTTTTCCACAAGGGGGCAGCATTTATCTGTGTGTGGCAAAATGCTACTGGGTCCAACCATAGACTCGCTTTCAACGCTGAACCCAAAGCGCGAACTTCAAAACGCCTTTAGTTAATTTCTCCTGATTTTTAATCACAATATAAATATCATGAAATCATTAAAAGAAACATTTTAAAGAAACTTACTAATAAACGCACTAAGGTTGTATTTTTAACATCTGTCAAGTTTAACATTATTAAGTTTGCTGCTACAAACAGACACTCTCGCGTACATTATGCACTGATACTCTTAAGCTCCTGGTTCTGGCCACACCCTTAGCACAGCCGACTGAACACGTTGGACCAGTGATGACTCCCAGAGGGTGTGTCCCGCTGCTGTGAAACGCAGCACTGTTCACCAGCACGTCCTCCTCCTCCTCTTCCTCCACCGCCTCCTCCTCCTGTTTTTTTTTAGAAAAAGCTGAAGGCGCCCACACTCTACACAGCAACGCCAGAACAGTGCTGCTCTCTAAGGGGGGGAAAGTGAGAGAAATTCCCTGAGGGTTTGCCCGGAGACTGCTGGAAATTTTCCCCTGGAGTAAAACCTGCCGAGTTAGGATACTCAGAGGATATCAGAGGCTCTCCTGTAACCATGGGGGACGTGGTTTCCTCTCACCTGGATGAGGATAGGCGGGAGATGATTACAGGTAAGATGAGTACCGTTGCGCGTTATAACAACCTTATTACAGAGTTTTGACCATGTTTTTGCCTTTAAGAAAATCGATTTATATTACTTTTATCATCTAAACTGCAGAAATCAAGTATAGACGGTTACTTTTGTGCCACCACCTTGTAGGTGTGCTTCCCATGAATCACAACTCCACTGCAGCCATGTTTCTTAGAGATAATAAGTAGGTTTCCGATGTTGCAGCATGTTTGTATAAGTTATGGACTGACTACTATTTAAGTCTCAGATTGCTCCACAGAGTGAGCTGGGCAGCACGTCTGGGCGTCTATTAAAGTCATGCGAGTAGAAGAACAATACAAAGACTGAGATACTTCAATGGATATAACGTGATCCCTGTCCTAGAAGTAGCTTGGTGATGCGTTCGAGGATCAAAACCACTTCAGGAATTTGGGAAAAACTAGTGTTTTTTGTTTTAATGCATGGAGTTCAATCTTCCAGACTTGTCATTTCCTAAAACCTTTGTGTCAGGGTCATTTCAGCCTCAGCTGGGATGCCCCTTTAGTTCAGGGTTGTAATCCTGTTTGTGTGCATACGCTGGCAGAAGTACTCCTATGAGGAAACCCAGAATTATTCTCTAGAGGCTCAGGCACCGAGTGTGTTTGTTGGATTTTCCTTTTGTGAGCAGAAATAGAAAAAAAGTGGGAAGAATCACCCTGTTAGAATCTGGCTGTTGTAAAAAAAAAAAAAAGGGTAGTTCACATATAAAAGGATAAATATCAAATGTAACTTCTCAAATATGAGGGGTTTTTTTTGCCTTTTGTGTGCTGGCCAGAGAAATGTTTTCTGTCTTATACTGATCCAAAGTTGATCCAAAGATGTGTGAAATTCAGAATGAGCAGAAACTGGGCTTTAGAAAGTACAAGCAAGGTGTTCAATGTGAAAGTTCTTGACCTTAGGAACAAAGCAATCTGGTCTTACTGGCTTTTTGGAGCCCTTAGCCACATGTGCTGGTTTTCATTCCTGAAAAGCGCTCAGTCAGGTATCATCATGTGTCATAATGTAACGCTTGTTAATGATAAAATATATGTTAAAAATATAAAATATAGGGTTCACAT